AGAAGGTTATAAACAGACTCACACTCTCTCAGCCTCAGAGAATGGCCATGGCAAACCCTTTCCGAAGAAACATGCCAAAAACAACCCACAGCAGGATCACCTTAGGGTAGCTATGAGTCCAAGAGGACTTTCTGGCACACAACAACAGCTGCAGTAACAAAAAAAAAAAAAAATACTGTGATATAGGTATGTGTTATTGCAATCATACGTATGTGTACTACATATATATCACTATGATATGTGTGTGTGTGTGTACACATAGCATATATATGTAATTGATAGGAAATAAATATTATTTATTTATTTCCTATCAATTTATTTCCTCTCCCTCTCTTTCCATAGGTATGTTTTCTAAAACATAGTACCACGCTTTTTTCCCAAGCGTCTGCACTTCGCACTGCAGAAACCATCCAGGTTGACCCCGCTTTAACTGCCATGGCTCAATGCTGTGGAATTCTGGGACGTATAGTTTAGTGCCTCCCACGCTAAACTACAAATCCCAAGATCCCAGAGCATAGCTTCTGACACCCCATTTTTTTTTCTTTGTCGCCTTGTTGGCCAAGGAAGGCTTTAGAGATGGTTTTGGTGGCATTTCCCGACGGTGCCCTTTTAGTCCAAAAGTGGAAAGCTGTATCTTAAAAAAAATGATTTTTAAAAAAGAGGTCCTCCTTTTTGGGGGACTTTGCCGGACCTGGGTGTGAGGAAGAGACTTATACACTTATAGTTGTCATAGAGATGATGATGATGGTGATTATTATTATTATTATTATTATTATTATTAAATGAGGCAGAATTTTGCAAGAATTCTTCCTCCTTCCTTCAACAGATGCATCCAGATTTGTATTTGGATACATCTGTGAAAGGGGGAGAAACTTGCAAAACTTTCGCCACGAGTGTTTATTTTTTATGTGACAATGAGATATGGATACCTTTTGCCTCCCCTTCGCAAATATATGCATGCATAGACATGTGTGTGTATGTGTATACACACACACACACACACACATATATATACATATATGGATATGTATGGATATATTTGCATCGGGGGAGTAGAATTCTTGCACAATTCTTCTATGGATTTTTACTTTCTGTATGGCAATTCTGCAAACTCTACCTCTCCCAATATGAATATATATATATATATATATATATATACATATACTTATTTGCATACGTATATATAGCCACATAGGTAGATGGTAGATAGATAGATAGATAGATAGGGGAGGGAGACATGAATTTTATTTTCCGTAAGACAATTCTGTGAACATAAATTCTATTTCTCCAATACAAATGCATGCATATTTGCCTATATATATGTGTGTGTGCGTGTGTGTGTATGTGTATGTATATATGCAGATATATGTAGCCAGTGGTTTAAGCGTTGGACTATGACTCTGGAAACCAGGCTTCAAATCCCAGCTCAGCCATTTAACCCACTGGGTGGCCTTGGGCAAGTCACACTCTCTCAGCCTCAGGCAAACCCTCTCTGAAGAAACTTGCCAAGAAAACCTCATGATAGGGTCGCCATAATTCGGAAACGACTTGAAGGCACCCAACAACAACAACAACACCGACACATAGACATATAATTGCAGGGTTTCACTTTCTGTAGGACAATTCTACGAGTACAAATTCTACCTCTCCAATGCACATGCGTGAATATTTGCATATATACATATGTGCATAGGGAATCATAGTAATCTATATCCATATATATGTATACATATGGAGGGGGGAGGCATGGATTTTATTTTCTATACGACTCTAAAGAATTGACTTGGAATACTTGGAGAACTGTAATCTAGGAGATAAAATGCATGGCTCCCTTTAAATACATATGCACATGTATATCCATATGCACATATCCCTCTCCCAGTATACACAAATGTACATATGGAAGTATGTATGTGTGTCTACTGGGAGAGGGAGAACTTGTAGTTGTAGAACTAACATACAGAAACCAAAATCCATGACTCCAACCAAATATATATTATATATAGATATGTAAATATGCACGTATGTAAATATGTATGTATATTGGGAGAGATAGAATGTATCCATATACATACTTGCATATGTACATATGTGTATATATCCATACATGTACATATGTACTTGGGGAAGCCATACAGTTTTATTTCCTAGACTACATATGTGTATATATCCATACATATACATATGTACTTGGGGAGAGTCATGCATTTTTATTTCCAAGCATCCCAAGTCAATTCTTTATAATGTAATTCTTTACACGTATAAATTCTACCTAGGTGTGTGTATATTTGTGGAGTAGCATTCTTGCAAAATGCGATCGTCAATGCTGTCGATCTGTGTCCCTCTAGAAATCCCAGCTCTCCCTCTCCAATAGATCACTATCTGATATCGATCAGGTATTGGCAAAAGAGATCAATTGGCGACCCTTCCTTTCCAGCCAACTTAAGGGGGGCTTATGAACCCGCTCCGATCCCGACTCTGTCTCTTCAGATCCCGGGCTGGGAATGACACAACAGACAGACACAAACACACAAACACAACCTAGGATCCCTCCTTCTTTCCAGCCGCCGTCCAATCCTCCTTTTCCGCGATCGATTCCTAGGAGCGCCTTGCCTTTTTTTGCATCCCAGCCTCTTTTCAGCCTTAAAAGCAAAGACTTTTCAATCTCAAACATCATCGGAAGGGGATGGAAGGAACCCAGAGTGGAGAAAAGAGAGGGGAGGAAATGTGTTACTTTATTTATTTGCCTGATGTTCCTGAGATAAGGGATCGCGGGAGTATTTTTATTTTATTTTATTTTTTACGCATGTAAACCTTTCCAACAAGTTCGGTTCTAGGCTTATTCTTGGGAGTGCGACTGTTTTGGTTTTTTCTTTCTTTCTTGACATTAAAACTCCCCAGGCATTAAAATAATAATAATAATAATAATAATAATAATAGGCAGGAGGACAAACACGCACAACCCCAGACTTTTCCAGCCAGATCTTGCTCCAAAGTTAATCCAACAAAGTGAACAAAAGTATTCCAACGGATCGTCTTCAAAATCATGGGAAGCAACTTGCTTTTCTTTCTTTCTTTCTTTCTTTCTTTCTTTCTTTCTTTTTTTTTT